ACCTGATCTAGCATTAGATGAGCAAAACGACTTAGTGCAAAGAGATTTGGCTTATGAGTTTTGTGAACAATTGAACCTGATCATTACTTCATGTTTAGATTGTTAGGGTTTGCAAAGCGATTTGAAACTCTGTGATTTAGACATAGTTAACTTCTGCAATGAGAATTGATTAGTTATATATTTGTGATTCATGTTCAAGACGGTTCTTATTCATTCCTGATTTCATGCATTCTACATTCTCGGATTCAACCTGCGAATTATCCTGACTTAGCGCTTTTAGTCTTCTGAATCTTAGATCAACAAACAAATTTCGCATGCTTTCTTTTATTTTGTTATTTCACATTACCTTCACTACTTATTTCTTAGCTTAATCTGAATCTATAATCGCTAGTGTAGTTCACATGCTCCCTTGGGATTCGATAACCCCTTATACTACATCTACTTTGTTGTGCACTTGCAGTAGTTTTATTTGGGTAAAACCTGAGCCCTATCACTTAGTGCTTAATATTATTGTTCCTTCTTATTGATTGTTTTTAATGCTAGATTAGACCTTGCTAAGTTGATCTAGATCCTAGGGTTCTATTATGCCTGCCAAGAGTTAGATGAATTGCCTGAATGAGTCAAGTAAGAGATTTGCTTATCTTAGCCTAATGAATTAGCTGTCTAAGGAGTAGATTGGCAATATAGAATTGGATTAGTTGCTTATAATGCTTGCTGATCATGTGTTTAAGTAGCTAGTGTCAAGGAATTGAGCTAGTTATAGTTATTAATTCTATGCCTAGGAATAGCTTTTGTGGGTTTGTAAGCATCACTAGTTAAGCTGAAAGTCTCCCTAGATCAATTACCCTATCTCAAGCCTGCTAGTCTTTGATTGTTTGAATTCGGTCTTGCCTTAGTTTCTCTGTTACTTTACTTGCTCTTGCTTATTTGAAGTCTCTTTTAGTTATTAGTTTCATAGTTTCAATCACCCATTTATGCTTGCTTGAATTAGATGATCTGCTGCATTCTTAGTGTTTTACCTTCCCATTATGGATTGATACCTACATACTACAATGATATGAGTATATGTAGGATTTGAAGTAGAGTAAACTCCTGCACCAATTAAGTTCTCACTTTTTCTCAATTCTAGTAAGTTTATTATTTTTGAATCTTCAGAAACAATTTTAGTAAATGAATGACTTACCTAAGGAACACTCTTAGTGTTTTTGCTTCCCAAATCTGTAAAGTGATGAAATATTTGGTATGGGGGCATCTCTTTGAGGCTGTCTCCTCTCTCAGCATTCTGGGTATGGTCTATACCTGATAATTTTCTCAAAGACAAAATCAAGTGCATCATATCTGAGTTTAAATTATAGAGATAGGCTTTGAAATATTTAAACTCACAGTGATGGTGTTAGCTAGCTGTAGCATCAATTGCTCTTTGTTTACTTGAACTCCATGGTTGCTGTTATCCTCTAGTCTAGAGATGACTAAGGATCTTCCAGGACTCTCACTATTTTGTTTGGAGTCTTGAGCTCCTAACTGATATGAATCAAGGGTAGTTAGCTCATCTTTCTCATCTAGGCGTGCTGATGGCAGTGCATCTGATTGCTCTTCTTCTACTTTCTCATCCTCCACTGGACAAGTCAATTATAGTTGCTGCTCTCCTTGTAGCTTTTCATCTTTGCTGGTTTTCCTTTCTTCTTGCCTTATTCCTAGATCAAAAATCTTTGGCAAAGACAAGTGCATAAGTCTAGCATTGGAAACTAAAAATTCAGAATGAGATAAACTACCACTATTGATAGATTTTTCTGTTTTCTCTACTAGTGAAGGTTCTTCTAACAATTTCTCAATAGAATAATTTGCAGCAAAGTGTCCTCTCTTATGGCGCTTATAACATATTGGTTTTAGAATTTACAAAGTTAGAAGACTTACCTTGGGTTGGTGGGTCTGGTGACTTTGTTATAGCCTTAGAGCTAGGTGTTGTTGCCTTGTGTGCAACTTCTCTTTTCATGAGTTCATCTTTTGGAGCTCTGTTTCTGGTCCATTGCAAGGCTTATTGCTGGTATCTCTTCTCTTTTGGATGTGTACTCCTTTAAACCTGTTCCAGCTCTCTTTGACACAAACAAGTGCATCATACTAGTGGTAAATAATTTAGATACCAATTCATCTAAAGAAGAACTTAGCTGAGCATTTCTTTGAACAATGGTTTGTTCTGGTTTTTCTGTTGACGTGCACAATGTTCTTTAACTGAGAACATTCTTCTTCTTGATACTTTTCTACAAATTCTTTATGTATTTTTGCCTTGGGGTCTTTTCAGGAAAACAATCAAGAGTTAATTACATTTACATATATTTTTTCCCACTTTCTTTGCACACATTGAGCATGTGGCACACTTTCTCATTTTAGAAAGATCAATATACTTTTTCTTTATTACACTCTTTTGGTAACTAATTTTTATTGTCATAATTTTTACAACAAAAAAGCATTTCACTCTTCCCCATTAATACAAATCTCCAGTTTATCACCGCCGTCCTCAAAGTTCGTCGGAATTATTCTCACCACCGATAATTTGATGGACGAATCCATATTCATCAGCACTCACATCGTTTTCTAATTGAACAAAGTTAGATTTATTGAGTTAACCTGAACAATCTTAGTCCACCAATTGGCATCAGAATCTGGAAAATTTTAATCCTATAGAACTTGAATTCTTATTTCAGTTACATACAAAACCCCTTAATAGCTTTCATCAAAGCTTTTTATAAACATAAACTTACAGAAAAACTTAAAAATTACAGTTCACACGATGACTTTAACCGGAGTTCTCAGATTTACTCTGATACAACCACCATCATTATCTTAGTTCTCGATGTGGAAGATGAAATGGTTCCGTGTCCATCGATATTGAGATGCATGTACAATATTGTGTGGACAATGTAGTGTGGACAAAGTGGGTGTAGACAATGGACATACATATTATAGTCCTCAATTTATTCATTCATCCACAGTCCCTTTATTTCGACCATTTGCCCGATGGACCATTTATGATGGACAAGCTTACACTGTTTTTGAAAATGAAACACCGTAGCATATCATCTGGAGCTACTACTGCTGCCATTTTGCTCAAGGCACAGTGGACAAGGAAACATGACCAATTATCTATGGACTTTTTGTTTGCTCAGCTCAATGTCTTTACAGATTTTAATGGTATATAAATCGTTGCAGATATTTTGATGCCTTTATGATAGTCTTTGCATCGTACATTTACTTTACACGAGGATCAAGGCATGAGATTGTAACATTTATTTTCATCTCTTGTTGAATCCCAAAAGTCCTCAATTTAGGATAGTTTATTTTTAAGAATTCACAATGAAGCAGACAAAATAATTCAAAGGGATGGAGAAGAGTAGAGATGTTCTTTTCTTTATAAAAGAAGTGTATGTTTGTCCACAATTATTTTTTTGGTAAAAAACATTCTTCCAATTACTTGTACTAACCGTGGACCACATAACCGTGGACAAGACACCGTGGACAAGGCACCATGGAAAAAGTATCTAAATTTTCACGAGTACCATTATCACTGTTGATCTCTAAGTACTCGAGTTCGGCACCATCGTCCATGAGAATGTGTCCATGATAGGGTGTCCATACAATCTGTACATGAGAAGGTGTCCATGAGAGGGTGTCCATGCAATTTTTCCACGAGAAAGAGCCCATGAGAGGGTGTCTATTACTCTTGTCCATTAGCTTGTATACATGAGTGCATTATCCTTTCACTTTACCTGCCCCTGATCCAAATGGTAAAGAAAGTAAAATATCATGTTTCAGCAACCATAAAAGTTTACAAGTTTGTGACGGAAGATGATTGTTGGTAGAGATGGAATGGAGGAACTTGTGATTGACTCACTCAATCGGCGGGTTGACTGACTCGCTCAGTCGGTGGGATGCTTGACTCACTCAGCCGTTGGAATTAGCTCCTTGCATGAATCAAACAAACAATTATATTCCAAAAATCAATAGAAACAAATGAATCCCTTAATAAATCTAAAGACAAGAATAAACAAATCCTAAGGTTTTAGAGAAAAAAATTATTTAATTTTTCAAAAATCTCTATATCTTTTTACAGTGAGATCAATAGTTTTTATAGCTCTTACAAAAGATCTTTACAGATAAATACACTTAAATGAAATTATTTACATCTAAACAAAAGAAGAAAAATAAGCTAAATCAAAGAAATGTCTTCTTGCCACCAATTTTATTTTGGACTTAAATGAGAATCATTTAACTTTATGAAATTATGAAGACCAGGTTCTAATAATAATACACATATCGAAGACATTTGATTTACTGATTTTTGATCTTGTATCAGCAGTGTTATGAAAAAAAAATAGCAATTAAAGTTATTGAATGAAACTGCACATACATTTTAATAAATTGTGGAATCCACCATTAATATATATACAATAAAACTCTTTTTTACTTTCTACATAAATAAATATTTCCATTGGATGTAATTCATTCTATTTCTTAACAAAAAAAACCAAAAGAGCAGTAAACTCTCTCTCGTCTGTCTTATCAATATCTTTTTTATTCTACAGATATAAAATTCTCATATTTATTTATATTTATCTTAATAAATTATATTTCTTATTATAACAACAAATTATATCCTTCTTAGCATCTTTCTTTTTTTTTTTTTTTTTTTTAGGTCAAAAAATATAATTTTCTGTGGAGAATCAAACCAAGAACCTTGTTAATAGATGGGGGCACTCATTGCAACTGAACTACTTAACCTATTATCTTTCCTTCTTTCTTTCATCTCTACTGGTTATTGCTTTGTTAGATAGATTTTTAGCTTTGGATACTAGGATTGACTAAACTTTTGATCAATTTTGACCTTACCTTTATCCTTTCTAATGAGAGTGAGAGTTGCTATCAAAGTTCCCTATTCAATAATCAATATCCTAATTTTCTGGTTCAAGAAAAGAAAAGAAAAAGCTTTTGAATAATTGTAGATACTCGGAATCCAAAACATGCACAAGCCCCATAGATTTGGCCACTGAATAATCCATCATAGATTTGGTTGAAAAAGAACCCAATAGATTTTTGATATCATTGACAGCAAACAAGCCTATAAACCCGTATTCAACGTTCTGATTTGCCTAGTGCCAAAACCCGCCACGTGTTAAACCCATTTGTTCAACAGCTTCTCGTTAAAAGACAGCGAAATGTTATCGATGGCCAAGCAAAAACGCAAAACTTGCACGCAAGCTCTTCCTCTACCTTCTTCTCGCAGATTTCAGAAGCTTCAATAAGATTCATACGAAAGATTAGATAACATCAAAACCCAGAGAAGAATGTCAGTGGTTTTAGTCTCTTCAGCTTCTGCAACACTCACGAAATCCAAATCCATAAAGATTCCCTTTTTATATCCCACCAACACAAGTTCCGCGAAATTCCCATTCAGTTTCTCGATTTCGCCTCAAAGACCCAAACTTCTCGACAGCCCTCTTCGCGTGGCAGCGCCACCGTCTGTGCCCACTTCAGATCCGGCGGAGGAGAGGCGGATCGAAGAAGAGTACGGCGGAGATAAGGAAGAAGATGGGTCTGAGTTTAAGTGGAGAGATCACTGGTACCCGGTTTCTCTGGTTGAAGATTTGGATCCGAATTCGCCGACCCGGTTTCAGCTTCTGGGTCGAGACCTCGTCCTCTGGTTCGATCGGAATGATCAGAAATGGGCCGCTTTTGATGACCTCTGCCCTCACCGTCTTGCTCCTTTATCTGTAATCTCTCTCTCTCTCTCTCTCTCTTGGAACAAGTAGTTTAGTTAGGTACTATGATTTGGATTAGATAAATAATTATTAGAGATAATTGTTTAGTGTAAAGTTTAGATATTTGAAGTATTCCAATATCAGGTCAGCTTCAAACATGTTTTGAATAAAATATTATGATCAGAGAATCAGAACAGTTGTAACTAGTTTTGTTATTGACATAAGCAAAAAGAAGTCAACTTTCTGGTAAAGTGGTGACAGAAGTTTTGTGCTTTTGATCAGTTTCTGGACATTTGTGTAGCTTTTAGCTGTAACTGGAGCTTACTTACATAAAATTGTAATGTATATTATAGATTTAGATGTGTTGTGTATGTGTTGATTGTATTGTGGATTTGTAGGAAGGAAGATTGGATGAGAATGGACACTTGCAATGTTCATATCACGGATGGTCCTTCTCAGGGTGTGGATCTTGCACTAGGATTCCACAGGCTTCTACTTCAGGCCCTGAAGGTCGCGCGGTTAAGTCCCCTAGAGCTTGCGCCATTAAGCTCCCAACAATAGTGTCTCAAGGCCTTCTCTTTGTGTGGCCTGATGAAAATGGATGGGACAGAGCCAATTCAATCGAACCCCCTAGGTAACATTTATCTTCTTGGTGTTGAAATTGGTTTGGTTTTTGCGCAGACTTTGACAAAGCTTTGATTTTTAGGTTGCCGGATGATTTCGATAAACCGGAGTTCTCAACAGTGACGATTCAAAGGGATCTTTTCTATGGATATGATACTCTAATGGAAAACGTATCTGATCCTTCTCATATCGATTTTGCTCATCACAAGGTGTGTTTTCATCTCTCTCGAAACCTCTCAATGTGTTTGCATTTTCGGTTAAGAAGAAAATCATCCTTAAGCGATGTTTTCGTGTTGGTAAACAGGTTACAGGAAGAAGAGACAGAGCAAAACCATTGCCGTTTAAGGTAGAATCAAGCGGTCCATGGGGTTTCCAAGGCGCAAATGACGATAACCCCAAGATCACCGCGAAATTCGTTGCTCCGTGCTATTCTCTTAACAAGTGAGTCTCTTGAGTCTTGAGTCTCTCCCACACAGCACACAAATGTTTGAAGCATTACTTAATGGGGATTGTGAATGTGTTTGTGTGTACAGAATTGAGATAGATGCAAAGTTACCTATCGTTGGTAACCAAAAATGGGTTATTTGGATTTGCTCATTCAATATACCAATGGCTCCAGGAAAGACCCGTTCCATTGTTTGCAGCGCTCGTAACTTCTTCCAATTCTCTGTTCCAGGACCAGCTTGGTGGCAGGTAAAAATACAATCTTTGATTCCATCTCCAGTCTTGAACCAATCCAGATTTGTCTTCATAAATCTTCTGTTACTTACTAGGTTGTACCGAGATGGTACGAACACTGGACATCGAACTTAGTCTACGACGGTGACATGATCGTACTTCAGGGACAGGAGAAAGTGTTTCTCTCTAAATCAATGGAGTCACCGGACTACGACGTGAACAAACAGTACACAAAACTCACATTCACCCCAACGCAAGCAGACCGGTTCGTTCTAGCCTTCAGAAACTGGCTCAGACGGCATGGTAAGAGCCAGCCTGAGTGGTTCGGGTCCACGAAAGCTACCCAACCTCTCCCTTCCACTGTGTTAACCAAGCGCGAGGTGAGCCATTCGATCATCATGCGTTCTCCAACATCATTGATATGTATAGATATACAAACTGATTAGAAATGTGGAATTTGAATACAAAAACAGATGCTGGATAGATTTGAGCAGCATACACAATTGTGTTCTTCTTGCAAAGGAGCGTACAATGGTTTCCAAATCCTCAAGAAGTTTCTTGCTGGCACGACGGTTTTGTTTGGCGCCACGGCTGGTGTTCCTTCGGATGTTCAGATTCGGTTGGTTCTGGCTGGTTTAGCATTGATCTCAGCTGCTTCTGCATATGCTTTACATGAAAAGGAGAAAAACTTTGTGTTCAGAGATTATGTGCATTCTGAAATCGAGTAGATAGAGATATATTATATTTGTACAATCATCTTTTACAACCTTGTAAATCCAAATCAGTGGAATATTATAGGAATTTACAGTACATCATAAATCTCCAATAGTTAACATCTAAATGTGGTTAAAGGAAAACGATTCAGACTTGGGGGGGGGGGGGGGGGGGGGGGGGGGGGGGGGGGGGGGGGGGGGGGGGGGGGGGGGGGGGGGGGGGGGGGGGGGGGGGGGGGGGGGGGGTTGCAAAGTTAACTTAAGGAGGTTTATGGGAGAAAACCAAACGATCAGAAACGTTGAGGGTCAAATTCGAAACATGGGGAAAAACATTCTTCCTTCACATTGTTACAATACAATCATATAATAGTATAATACAACCTTGTAAATCAAAATCAGAGAGCTTTCTAGAAATTTACATCGTAAAATTCCGAAAAATTTCCGAAAGCTAACATCTAATTGCGGTTACAAGATTCAGAATTTGTTGGGTGGGGTAAACATTTAAGTTTAAAAAAGTTGGTGGGAGCAATACTAAATGATCAAAAACTAAGGGGTCAAATTTGAAACTTTAGAAAAACATTCGTCCTTGTTACGGAGCCGATAAGAAGATAACACTAGAAAAGCGCTCTTGTCTGTGTGCGTCGGAACTGAATCAGCTTCGTAATGGCTTCTTCTACAGCTTTGTCTCTTTCATGGAGCTCTTCTCTTTGCTCGTCTCACAGATTCAATGGCGTCGCTAATGAAACCCTAAAACTATCCCAGGGAAGGTCCACTTTGGAGGTTGTTGCTCAGAAGAAAACCAAAAAGCTCCGGAAGGTAAAGTCATTCTGGTGATTACATTTCATGGGTTTCCTTCAAATATTCGATTGTGAGCTACTGCTTAGGAGAATTTGAATGGAGATGTAAGAAAACTTGAAGAAGCATCACTCATGTATCAGTTTAGATAGTAAGAAAGATTCAAAATTGGGGCATTTGGTATGTTTCTGTTCATTGCAGGAACAACGGAAGAAAATGAGAATGTAATTTACATGAAATCCGAAATAAAACTGGGAATGCAAGAAAAGGGCGATTTTGACTTTCAAAGCAGACACCTTTGTATCTATAGTTTTTAGCTCCAAGAGTTGTTGATTCTTTGTGTGTTTATTCTTGAATTTCTAGTTGGAAGCTTTGTTAATTGAGTTAATGAAACACAAATGTTAACTCTTTGTTTGTTTCTTAAGGTAATCTTGAAAGAGGATGTGTTGGATTTGGGTAAGCAAGGGCAATTACTTGACGTGACAGCCGGATTCTTCAGAAACTTCCTGTTGCCTACGGGAAAGGCTCAGCTCATGACTCCGATTCTGCTCAAGTAATTCACATTCATACATGAATCTTTAGTCACCTCAACTTCGAAACTTGATTCTCATAGCAAATGCAATCATTTTGATTTTTTAATCTTTTTTCGCCCGTCTTTTTTAGAGAAATGAAGATGGAGGACGAAAGGATAGAGGCGGAAAAGCAAAGGGTAATCAAAGATGAATACATTGATTGTTTTGTTTTGCTCATTATGTAAAGTTCTGGTCTTTGAGTGATTACCAAAATCTCTTTTACTTGGTTTTAGAGTTTCACCTGAGAGTTGTGTTTGCTGTATTCTTCTTTATTTTTGTGTGAAACCACTTCTCAGGTGAAAGAAGAGGCGCAACAACTAGCGTTGGTATTTGAAACCGTTGGGGCTTTCAAAGTTAAACGAAAAGGCGGTAAAGGCAAACAGATATTTGGATCGTAAGTAGTGTTTAAGCAGATCCAGATTATCAATGGTTCTTGAGGAAACATGTTTAGCCTCTAACTTTAACTTTAAATTCCCCTGCAGTGTCACAGCACAAGACCTCGTCGACATCATCAAGGCTCAGCTCCAAAGGTAACATAACACAGAGAATATGACATTCTCACCTAACATGCTGTTTAGTTGGATCATTCTGCATTTGGTTTTCAATGTTTTTTTAAAGAACCTAATATGGTTTAACTTTCCTCTGCTTCTCTTTGGCTGTGTTTTGCAGGGACATAGACAAACGCATTGTCTCTCTCCCGGAGATTCGTGAAACCGGAGAATACATAGCCGAACTCAAACTTCACCCGGATGTCACTGCCCGAGTTAGGCTCAATGTTTTCGCAAACTAACCCTTCACAATAGTCAAGACTACTACTACAATCCCAAGGTATTTCTAGACTCTCCATGATCATGTGGCTTATTCCTTTTAAGAGATGGTGGTTTCGTCTCCATACGCATTAAAATAGGTAGTTAAACCCATAAAGTAAACACTGGTCGTGAAATGGAGTTTTGCGTTTAAGGTTTAGCCGTAAACGCAGATGCTAAACGGACCATTGCACTGTGTTTGGTGTTTTGAGGTTGCAGGAACATAGAGAAAAGGGAAAAGAGAGTGGCGAGGATTAAAGTTTGTGAAGGTTTTTTATTGTAGATCTTTGCTGCATTTTCTATTTTTACTATTTTATGAAATTTGTTTTGGAATCTGAAAATACTAAGAGAATGTAATATTTTCTTCAAGTTATAATATTTTGTTCAAGTTATCTTGTATTCATTTGTCTGTTGAAGTAGAGAGACGCTTAAATTAACACCAACAATCTGTAAAAACCTAACAAATAACCAGATTACCTGTCATGTAATGTAATGTCGCCGTCTCTTGTTCCCACAAGATTGACTATTTTTAGATGAGTTGGTTTTTAAACAAAACCCAGATGTATTTCGTTATACGGGATCACTTCGTTATACTCCATTTCTGTTACCCAAACGTTTTTGTTTAAAACAGTTACAGCTCTTTTTTTTTTTTTTAATTTGATTCATAATCATTTCTTGTCTCGTTTCCATCATCTTCGTTCTCGTTAAACAAGAACGTTTGTTCACAATGGAGTTCGGAGATGATAAGAGTCTTTACCTTAGAGATACATGGAGAGAAGGAAACTCGATCTGCGGCGTCGTGCCCCTCAACCCTAGCTCGAGCGGGCTATGGCCATCCCCGAAGCTCGCAGAACCTAACGCGAACATCGAGTTCTGGAATTACATGTTTCCACATGTTGAGATCATTTTCCTCATCGTCACTATCCTTTGGCAATTCTTCCATTTCGGCCTCAAACGTCTTGGCATGATTCGTTTCACTTCCCATATGCTTGTAAGTGAATCTTGAAAATGTTCCCTGCTTTGATTCAATCTTCTTGAAAGTTTTATCTTTTTGTGTGTGTGTTTTCTCGGGCTTTCTTGGTTTTTTATGTGAATCTTGTAATGTATCCTTTTTTGATATAAACTCGATTCAAAGTTTGTTGTACATTTGGTTTGGAAAACAAGAAAATTTCATCTTTTTGTGTGGAGGTTTCCGGTTTATTTGGTTTTTAAGTGAATAAGGAAATGTATCCTTCTTTAATATAAACTCAATTTAAAGTTTGAATCTTTTGGTTTAGAAAATAAGAAAGTTTTCATCTTTTTGTTTGTGGGATTTTGGGGGTTTCTTGGTTTTAAGTGAATCTTGAATCCTCTTTGATATAAACTCGATTTGAAGTTTGTATCTTTGGATTGGGAAAACAAGAATGTTTCATCTATTTTGTTTGTGGGGTTTTCGGATTTTCATGGTTCTAAGTGAATATTGAAATGTATCTTTCTTTGATATAAACTCATTTTAAAGTTTGTGTCTTTGGTTTGGAGACGAAGATAGTATGTTTGGGTTTTTCGGGTTTTCTTAGTTTTAAGTGAATCTTGAAATGAATTCTTCTTTGATACAAACTCGATTTAAATTTTTGTATATTTGGTTTGGAAAACAAGACATTTCATCTTTTTTTGTGTGGGGTTGCTCTGTCTTGCAGACTGGGATTCTTCTAAGCAAGTCGTTTCTAAAGGAGAATACACCAGCGAGACATTTCTTTTCCACAGAAGACTACAAAGAGACTGTGTTTGGTCTCTTTGGTGCGTGTTCGTACATGATGTTCTGGTTCTTGATGGGAGTTAAAATGGACTTGGGCCTAGTCCGAAACACCGGGAAAAAAGCCATAACCATCGGTCTCTCCTCGGTTTTACTCTCTATCACGGTTTGCTCTTTCATCTTCTTCATCATCCTAAGAGATATAGGAACCAAGAAGGGAGAACCGATCTTGAACTTCTTCGAAATCATCATCATCTACTCGATCCAATGTCTTTCGTCGTTTCCTGTTATCGGAAACCTTCTTTTCGAGCTTAGGCTACAGAACTCAGAGCTTGGTCGTCTCGCTATGTCCTCTGCAGTGATCAGTGACTTCAGCACTTCGATTCTCTCCGCGGTTCTCGTCTTCTTGAAGGAGCTAAGAGACGAGAAAACGAGGCTAGGATCCGTATTCATCGGAGATGTCGTTGTCGGAAACCGTCCTTTGATGCGTGCAGGCACGGTGGTTTTCTTTATTTGTTTCGCCATATGGATTTTCAGGCCATTGATGTTCGTCATAATCAGCAGAACTCCTTCTGGTCGACCCGTAAAGAAAGTCTATATATATCTAATCATCGTTCTTGTCTTTGGATCTGCCATTCTTGCGGACTGGTGCAAGCAGTCTATCTTCATGGGACCTTTCATTTTAGGCCTAGCGGTTCCTCACGGCCCTCCTTTAGGCTCTGCGATCATTCAGAAGTTCGAGTCCGCGGTTTTCGGCACATTCCTTCCCTTCTTCGTGGCTACATCCGCTGAAGAGCTTGATACTTCTTTGATACTGTCTTGGTTCGATTTCAAAACTATATTCATCATCGTGTTTGTATCCTTCGTCGTCAAATTCGCTCTCACGACTCTCCCTGCTTTACTGTGCGGTATGCCGATGAATGATTCCCTTGCTCTGGCTCTCATTATGTCCTTCAAAGGCATTTTTGAGTTCGGCGCTTATGCGTTCGGGTATCAAAGAGGGGTAAGTATGTTTACCTATATCTATTATTTTTTTATCTTTAGACCTAAACCTATTTATTGAAGATAACTTGGGATGCAAGATGTGTTTCTCAGACTTGCAATACATAGTCTTTCATAACCCAAAGTACTAACCCGTTTTGATTCAAACCGCGACTAAGCATTTTCCATTTTCATTGCAGTCTATTCGTCCCGTGACCTTCACTATCTTATCTATATACATCTTGTTGAACTCGGCGATCATACCTCCGATCTTGAGACGCCTATACGATCCTTCGAGGATGTATGCAGGATACGAGAAGCGGAACATGCTTCACATGAAACCTAATTCCGAATTAAGGATCTTATCGTGTATATACCGAACCAATGATATCCATCCCATGATCAATCTCCTTGAAGCAACTTGTCCCTCAAGAGAAAGCCCCGTAGCTACTTACGTCCTCCACTTGATGGAGCTTGTGGGTCAGGCCAATCCGGTTTTCATATCTCACCGTTTGCAAACCCGAAAAAGCGAGGACACATCATATAACTCGGAGAGCGTCATTGCTTCGTTTGATCAGTTCCACAAAGATTTCTTTGGCTGTGTTTCCGTTAGCACTTACACGGCTTTATCAGTCCCCAAGACGATGCACGGAGACATATGTATGCTCGCTCTTAACAACACGACATCTCTCATCATCCTTCCTTTTCACCAGACTTGGTCTGCGGATGGATCAGCGATTGTTTCAGACAGTAGTATGATCCGGAAACTGAACAAGAGTGTCGTCGAGCTCTCTCCTTGCTCTGTAGGAATCTTCGTTTACCGGAGCAATAGTGGCCGGAGAACAATCCGAGAAACTTCTCCGAACTTCTCATCTTACCAAGTATGTATGCTCTTTCTTGGTGGTAAAGACGATAGAGAAGCTTTAACACTCGCAAAGCGAATGGCTCGTGACTCGCGGATAAACATCACTGTGGTTTCTTTGATCTCTTCTAACCAGAAATCCAAACAAGTCGCTGATTGGGATCGGATGCTCGATTTAGAACTACTCAGAGACGTGAAAAGCAATGTTCTTGCTGGCGCCGACATTTTCTTCTCCGAGGAAGTAGTGAATGACGCGTCTCAGACATCTGAACTGTTGAAATCGATTGCGAATGAGTATGATCTGTTCATCGTTGGAAGAGAGAAAGGAAGGAAGAGTGCTTTCACGGAAGGGCTTGAGGAATGGAGTGAATTCGAGGAACTTGGAGTGATTGGTGATCTCTTGACTTCACAAGATCTTAAGAGCCAAGCTTCTGTGTTGGTGATTCAGCAGCAACAGCAGATGATTTAGGGTTTCATATACGACAAACTGATCAATTCAACGCTTAATTGCGTGTGTTTCTTGGGGGGGGGGGGGGGGGGGGGGGGGGATCGATCGATCAGGTGAAATATGGCGACGAAACTCTCCATAGGGCTTCTCGAAACTGCAACGGGACATATACAATATTCTGAAGCCCTTGTCAAATTATTACCCAATCACTTCATGTTAGTGATATAAATTGTTTAGAAATAAAGAATTTTCTTCTGTTACAAGTAATGATTACAATGTTGTTGGATGTTGTATATATTTCAACTTGTGATGATATACAGTTGGTGATTAATTATTTTTGTTCAAACATGTCAACTAAGATCATCATCTACATTGCAGATCTTTAAGGGAGTTTTTAATCATAAAATATTGATAAAATTAGAATTAGAGAAGAAAGAAAATAAATAGAGATTCTTAAATAAGAAACCTATGAAAACTTTTATGAGAGACTTTTTTTATATATATTTTTACATCACTGATTTAAATTTTAATCATAATTTAAAATTAAATAATATTATAAAATTGATAAGAAATTCTTGTTAAAAGTGTATCACTATAAATTAATCTTAATTACAAATGTAAAAATAAGAGAAACTTGTACATATCACATAAGATTTATGGTTAATTGCTAACTAAACGGCTAAACCCTTATATTCACCATTTCTATTATTAATCACTTTCTTTTACTTTTATTCTTTTTAGTTTTATGTATATACGAAAATTTACAATTTATTATTTAAAATTTTTTTTTTTTTTAAATGATCAAACAATCCTTATCATCCTTATTTATTTATGAAAATATTATTACCATTAATTTGTCCAACTATCATTTTTAATCAATTTAAATATTTTATTGTTTTAACAACATATTTTTGAGCATTCTAAGCAGTGACAGCAGCAAAGAAACATCGACCGATCAGCTGGAAAATCGCGATGAAACTTAACGCGACATATGCAAAACTGAGAAGCCATTGTCAAATTATTACCAACCATTTCATGTTGCTGAAAGAAATTGTTTAGAAATAAAGAATTTTCTCGTGTTACAAGTAATGATTCCAATGTTGTTGGATGTTGTATATATTTCAACCTTTTTTTCTTTATCTGTAAACAATTCGACAAATTTTTTTCGACTTGTGATGATATATAGTTGGTGATAAATTATTTTTGTTCGAACATGTCAACTAAGACCATGTAAATTACAAATCTTTAAGGGAGTCTTTAATCATAAAATGTTGATAAAATTAGAATTAGAAAAGAGAAAGAATGAAGAGAGATTCTTGAATAAGAAACCTACTAAAAAATTTATAAGAGACTCATTTTATATATGTTTTCATGTCATTGATTTAAATTCAAATTATAATTTAAAACAAAATAATATTAAAAATATTATTATAAAATTGATAAGAGATTCTTGTTAAGAGACACACCACTATAAATAAATTTCAATTACATACATAAAAATAAAGGGAACTTGCACATCTCACATAAAATTTGTAATTAATTGCTAACTAAACGTCTAAATCCATATATTCATCATTTTTAATATTAATCACTTTCTTTCAATTTCATCATTTTCAGTTTCATGTATTCATCAAAATCCACAGTTGATTATTTTTTGTTTTAAAAAAAAATTCAAATGACCAAACAATCATCATCTTCTTCATTTATTCATGAAAATATTATCACCATCAATTCGTTCAACCATCATTTTTAATCAATTTGAAGTTTTTAATGTTTTAACAACCAATTTTTGAGTATTCTGAGCTCATTATCTCTTCTCTTAACCTTATATTCTTCCATTTTCTCTTTATTTTCATCCCAAACCTTTCACCAATAAGCCTATCACTTTTTTCTTAACCATGTTATGTTCTTTCCTATAGAAGAGAGTGCTTGTGATCACATGGTGGGCATATCTATTGGCAGGATGTCGAATGTTTGCACTCCTCAGATGCCCCGCCTTGTACACGCTCTTCGCTATCTCTTCCGACACTTGTTTGAGTTCATTGATCTTGAAACTCTTGGATTGAGCTCTTGTGCCTTCAGCAAATCCAAAAATACATTCCAGCTCAGTGAATCCAAGTGTATACCACGCCTTGTTAGCTCTGAACTTGATGAAGCCATTGCCAAACACCTCCTCACCTTCATCATACTCCTCATTAAAGTCAAAGAAGTATACCTTGAGGCTTGCAAGGAATTCACATGACAACTGGTTGTAGGTTGGATATCCAAGGCTGGTAAACCTTTCAAGATCAATGTTTCTCAGTTAGTTCATCCACTTCAGCCTTGATTCCCAGCTCATCTAACAGACCAGGAGAAGCATAACATGTGGGAACAAAATCAACTTTCCACATTGCTCTTAGATAGTCCTTGAGCTTTGGAGGTCCATTTGGATACTGCTCCTCTGCTACAACCAGCCTCTTGCGTTCAGCTTTGTCTCTTGCTTTCTAGATGGAAGTCAAAACCAGTTTATTTCCTCCGCTGCTTGACATTGTACCTGAAAATACAAAGCTCATACCCCAAATTAATGTTTTGTTCCTTTTGAGCACTGTTCAGAGAAATAATTTTCTAAAATCAAGAAGACTTGGAAAAATTCCACAAACATTCATACTGAATTCCAACAAATAGAGAAGAATTTACCAAACATTTTCAGCTCAAAAAAGTAAACACAATTAAAACTAAAATTTAGGGAACAGCAAGCACCAGTTTATCCAAAAAATCAAGTATATGCATCAATAAGCTATCTTCTCTCCACCAAATTATGAACAACCATTAAAACATCATTGTTACTCAATTATCAAGCATTTAAATGACAAACATGAAGGAAAAACAAAAACATGTAAAGATTTAGCCTAGATCTAAGCAATAAGCAAGATTAAAAACAATAAAAACCTTTTTCACCTTTTAAACCATAAACTTTCAAACCAGTGAATCAACAATGATGACATGCAATTAAAACAGCACTCCTAAACACATAAAAAAAATTTGCACAAAATTCTACACATCCTAGTTCAACTTACAAAGATTGTACACATAAGAATGGGGAAATCTAGCACTTAAATAACTTAAACTTTGCAAGGCTTGAGAGGATCCAAAAGAGAGAATGCAAAAGAGAGAGAAAAAATGTTTTGCAGAGAATGAAAGAGATGTTTAGATTGAGAAGTAACATGTATGTGGAGAGAAGAGAAAGATGAAACTTATAAAAGGACAAGGAAACAAAAATAATCTTTTTAAAATGCACGAGAATATTTTTTTAAATAAAAAAATGGCCAAGATGGGGAAAAGAGACTCTTTTTCACTTTTACGAGGATCACATGTTGGTTTTACTCGATTTAATCAAGTAAACAATTTGAATTTTTTTTTACATGGTTCAAATCGAGCAAAGACCCAATGCGACACCCTGGTGTGTACCTTCTGGGGGGACATCGGGTCCTGTGTCTTGGTGATCATGTTGCTGCTCCTCGGAGATTCTGTGTACTAATCAGTTTCTCCTCTGGGACATCTTGCATCGAGAAAAATCAAAGGAATGACTTGCTCGATGTTGTTTGCACGATGTGGGTGAAGCATCTGCTTTGCTCGGATCTTCCCTTGGGCAGTCGCATGGGCATTGTCTGGACCTTCGTTGTGGCTCGAACACTCTGAATCGAGCAGAATAGTAGTAGTTTTGTTCGATGTTACTCCTCAATACGGCCTCCATCTTCGTTTGCGTGGTGTCCTCGGAAGAACCCGGGGAATGCTCAGCGATTTGCAACTCCATGATAAGCATCAAGCAAAGGTATGGGTGTTTTGCTTGATGTTATACGTCGATGTGGATCTTTTTGCTTGAGTGCGGGGTGCTCGTTGGTGAAACTCATATTGGCTTCGTCCCAGGCGTGAAACATCGGGTCATCTTCATAGCGAGCAAAACAGAGATGTTCAGCTCGATGTACGTCAGCTCTTTCCCCGGTGTAATTGCCATCAAGCTTCTTCCTCGGTGTATAGTTCAGTCAGCTCGATGTACTGTCTTGGCGATTGCATCGAGCAAGCTTCACGAGGTTTTACTCGATGCAACTACCTCGATATAATCTCCCCCATACAATTTGCTTGATGTACAACTCCCCTTCCTCGATGTATGGACTGTGGCTCCTTGGGCGATTTCATCGAGCAGAGTTTTGGAGGCTCTGCTCGATGCATTTACCCTGATATGGCTTGTATCGGGCAGAATTTATAGAGGTCCTGCTCGATATGCTACCCCGATACAGAAACAGAGTCTTCTTTTCCTTGGCTTTTGAACACCCTACACAGCTTGTATCTTATTCTTTGACTCCTAAAACACTTAATAAACACATCAATAATAAAAAAGCACATATACAAGGATAGTCATGAGATTACCTTCCAAGTGTGCTTGTTTTAAGTCACTAAGCTTGACTTTGATGCTTGGTGACTTAGTGGGAAGAAGTTGATAGAGCAGAAGCTCCTTCTCCCTTCTTCATGTAAACCCAAGTACCAACTGATTGAAGCCTCTTTTTTATCACGAGCTGACTTCTTAGACCTCTCTTTCTTGAAGCTTGGTGGCAAGCACCATGGCTTCTCTTCTTCTTTTGTAATCACTTCTTTTTCTTTCAAGTCAAGTCCAGGTTTCTTTCCTTTATCATACCTCTTCTCAGACTCACCAGGAAGAGTGTTTTTCATCATCATTATCATGGTGAAAATCATGGCTTCTTCCACACGCTCAAGAGGATCCTTTTGGTCAACCTCTTTTTCAGCTATGGTTCCACAAAATGCAATAGAAGGAGACACTATATTGTATGCTCTGAATTCATAAACATTCTTAAACATAACTGAACTCCTCTGGAAGTCAATCTGAGCTCCTATTGTAGCCAAGAAGGGTGTGCCTAAGAGTAATGGCATCTCTTTGGAGTTTGATATCTCCATCACAACAAAATCTGTGGGAATGAGACAATTGCCAAGCTTTAGAGGATAGTCCTTAACCATTTCCTAGTGGG